GTGTAATATCGGTAAATATCGGTTATCGGCTATAACAGCAATAATAATATTGGATATTGATATTGACAAACTTTCATATCGGTGCATGTGAATGGCTGATAAATGCAGTGCCATACATGCATTGTAAGCATAATATCAGATTTTATAGTACGAGAAAAAAAGGTAGAATTTTAATTTGTTTGCTAAGTTTGAATTTTCAAATTTAGGAAGATCTTTTTCATTTGATTAAGAATCTATAACTGAAAGATGTGGAGAGAGAGAAAAAAAAAGACTCCAACAGTGAGGTTGCTACCTGACACTAAAAATACAGTGACTTCACAAGAGAAGAATTCACAAACCAACCACAGCACTGTGTCTAAAAGCCACTGGGCTGTACAGTTCAGCCTAGAGAGGAAACCCGTACTTAATGAGAAATTCATAGAGTGGGGGCTGAGATTGCAGCGTGTGCAGAACCAACAAAGCTTTTCAGATTAAACCAGAGCAGACAGATCTCACGCCAACATCCAGAAAAAAAAAAAAGACCATGTCACTTCCTTCCACTGAGAATTTAGATCTTGAGGCAGAAAAGTTTGCAGAGGACAAGCCATTCAAAATGCTAGCTCAGCTGATTTTGCTTTGGGTGCTTCTTGCCTGTGCAGAATACCTGAAGTTGAAATGATTAAAACCAACAAACAAACAAAAGGCACCAAAACCACATTCCATCAGACAAATCCAGTACTGCCAGTATTTTTCACACATCTTCACATTCCTGAACCCCAGCACTGTGACCACTCCAACTTACACTGCTCTCCGTGAAGTCTGTCTTTGCTGGAACACCGGGGCCAAAGTCCTCGTATTTCTCAGTTGTGGGCTTGGCATCGGTGGGACCGTAATCTCCGTAATCCCCGTAGTCGAATGGTTTCTCCACAAGCTCCTTATCGTATTCTTTCAAGTCGTATTCCTTAAACTCGTACAGGTCAGTAGTAGAATCCACTTTTTCTTGGGTGTCGTCAGGGACGGCAGCTTTCACGGGAGGAGTGGGGTCCGCACCCACCTCCTCTGCACCGGTGATGTAGTCATACTCCAGTTCTGCTTCATAATTCTGGAATTATCCCGAGAGGCAAAAAAATAAATAAATCATAAAGTTTTAGTTAGTAACATGAACAACTTCTTCACTTTGTATACAGAAGAGTCACAGCATTGTCATTTAGACTCACAACTTTCATCTTACCAAGATTTATTTATCATTATGTACAAAGCAAGATGGAGAAAATGTAGTGACTTGGTTAAGTAGTGCAATTTTTATGGGTTTAAATGTTACCTGGCCTTGACTGGCAGACTTGGTTGGAGTTGCAGGCTGACTTCCATCCACTACGGAGTATTCATACTCACCGTTGTAAAAATCTCCACCCTCATTTGTCTGAAATCAATGTAAAAAAAAAATTGAATAAAAAAAGTTCAAGATGGAAGAGATTCAAATAATATTGATGTCTCAGCAGAACAATGTTCCATAGTAAGTGACATGATCAGTGCAGTGGAAGATATTCTGTTAGAAAGCTGCTTGGGGAGTAAAAGTAGTGTGAAGGAAAATAGCTCTACTTGAAGAATTGCTTCTAACTCTTAAATTACCATTGATGGCAATCTGATTTGCTAAAGTCATTTAGCTGTGGCAGCCATTGTGAAATTAGTTCAATCACGTGGACATCCATCCAATCCGCATTCAGTGATGTCTATTTGCCAGTTTCTTTAACAGGGGTGTCAAACTCATTTTCACCGAGGGCCACATGAGCGTTATGGTGGCCCTCGAAGGGCCACTTGTAACAAACTTTGACGTTTCATGTTTAACTTTGACTAAACAGTGTTTAGTCAAAACAGACATGTCCTCTTTTAAACACTGATAGTTCACGTGTCAAATACAATGTATAATATAAGTGTATGACTGACTAAATTTGAAATAAATACAGAAATATTATTAAAAGTAAAACAAATAAAGTTTTACTCACTGATGAGTTTCTAGTGAGTAGCTGCATTATGGCAGACTTAATTTACGGTTGATGGTGACTTTAAAGCAGCTTATTTTCAGACTATAAATTGCTCAGTTACTTCAAGCCAACAGCTCAGGGACAGGAATTTGTAAAAAATATTTTTATTTCATTTTTTTATTAAATCAAATGTGTTGCATTTAATCATAAATTTAAAGTTTACCATTGATATAAGAATCAATTTTCATGTTATGTAAAAAAAAAATCCCCAAGGACCTTGTCACGGTCCTCACTTTTTTGCAGTTCTACTGTTACAAGTAAGGTGTTACCTCAGTCTTCGCTCCAGCTGTTGGAGGAGCGTCAGTGGTTATCTTTTCTTCACCATAATCGTAATCATAGGCGTCACCATAACTGTAGGTATTGTACTGTAAGAAAAATTAAAATCTGTTAATAAATGTTATACCAAGGCAACATATTATCTGTTAGACATTTTGCACACTATTTACATGGTATAAGTCTTTGTTTGTTAAAACTGCTTAAATCCAAAATTTAAATGACAAATGACACAAACATTCACATACATTTTCCAAAGTTCAGCAGTTTTGCGCACATTAACAATATGCCAAAAATGTTTCCTTGTTTTCCCAACTCTGAGCTTTACGTGCGAGAAAGAGAGTTTGTGTAGCCAAGCCAACACCAATTAGGAATCTTGTTTATTTGAAACAGGATGTCAGCGGCTTCATACAATGCCAGTTAAAAGCTATCTGCCTCTGCAGCCTAATCTGTGTACAATAACCTGCAGCTTTCATGAATGGCTTTTTAAAACGGAAATCTCGTGCTGTTTTGCCCTAATGCGTGTTCGTAAAAGCAGGGGGTAAAACCAATTATTTTAGGACCAACTGCTGGAAAAAAATGGAGGTAATGAAACTTTAATCTGGAACAATATTCTAAGATTGCAACTTTTTTTAAAATCAAAGCTTAAAAGGACGATCTGTTATTCCAAACTCTAAATTATATCAGACAGGAAATCAGTGGAAAATAAAAACGCATGTCTGAAACTAAAAAAAGAAGCAGGCGGCCATCTTGAGCACAATCCCACATCAACCTCTGATTTTCAACCTTGATGCAGGTGATGATTAGGAATAAACTGCATATTATCCACTAGAGGCTCATGCAGATGTGTTGTTGGGTCATACTGAATAAATTTAGTCCTCTTTAAAAGCAATATTAAACTTTTTAAAATATATATTTTAATATGAACTCTTTAGTAGGTTTTTGCTGAGATGTTTAACAGAAGCTAATATCACTTTGATAAGTAGCGCAGAATGTGCCTCCTATGCCACTGCTATCTAGAGTAGGAATAGGAAACTGGTGGCTTGCGGGCCGGATGTGGTTGGCTGACTTAGGTCCAGCCTGCAAATGAGTCCCTCCTAAATAACAGGAGATTTTCAAGGCAATCCTGTGTGTTTATTCTGCTTTTATTAAAGATAATATGGATTTTAATATAAGAAGCCACTACAATGCATTGCACAAAGCTACATAAGATAAATTTACTAAAGTCCCAAGTACATAAAACACAATGACTTTTTATCAGAACCACAACCTAGCAGGAGTTTGCACTCAAAGGTGTCTTATGTCGTTGCACTTAAGCTCACTTTTGTTTGCTTCAAACATTTTGCTTTAATGTTTGCTAAACAAGAGTGCAACTGTTACACATTTATTTGAGGATTAACTATTTTATGTTACTACACTGTGTGTTGATTTAATAAACTTGTACTATGCTGTGTAACCCTCTGGCAGTGTTAACAACAAATTGTGGCTCCTTCCATTATTTAAACTGCACATCAATGATCTAGAGGTAAAATGTTTAGCCCAAAACCTGTACAATGTAACAAAATTCTGCATTTTTTTCTTTTATAAAGAAATATATTGTCCTAACACTGACAAAACAGAAGTGAGGTAGATTGTGTTAACAGAGTAGCCACTGATATGCAATCCTCCTGCAGCCCAGGGATTAATATTAGTCCCTGGACAGCTGCTAAGCTCATAAAAATATTACAGGATCCACTGCCTGCTGCTGGCCTAGCCTGGTTTGGACAGGGAGAGGTCAAAGAAATGCAGCTCTGGCCAGCCAACCCAGAGAGACTGAGAGGGAAACAAGAGTTTGAGAAAAATACAAAGTTTGATTTATGAGTTTGAAGCACTTGACTGAGCTGAAGGCCTTCACCGTAGGTTTTAATACAATAAGTAAAAAATGATGTGTGTTCATATCCAACTCTCTTCCCTCAATAAACCAGCAGCAGACAAGCAGACGAGGACTGCAAGAGGATGCTTCACGCCAAGAAACATCTTTAAACTGAAAATCTAATTTGTAACTCAAAACACCTAGTCCTCAAAGAAGAAAATATCTTATGTAAGAGAATATTACTGCTCCACACCAATGATTTGTTACGTGTGGAAAAAGTTAAGTGAGTTTTCTTTTTTTAATTCTGAACTGGAATGTAGGAATAACATTCCTGTCTTCACTGTACAGAAACTAGGAGTGAATAAACCAGATTTACAATGTTCTTCAAGCCAAATGGCTCCCTTCTCTCTGTTTAGGATTGACAAGTTCCTCATGTTGGCCCTGAAAAGTCACTTGATGATGAAGAAATATTTTCCAGCTCTGGTACCCACTGTACAGCCAATATTTCTGAATAGAGAAACAGTTCTACATTTTTTCCCCCCTCAAAGCAAAGATCTAAAGTCTGCTTTTCCAGGTATTGGAAGTCTAGCTCGGGAAGGGAAAGCTTGAATTTCCCCACGAGTCTGTAGAACTCGTTAGTAATATAAATCAACGGGGCCGCTCAAAAGTGGACTATACGACTCGGAGGCTAGGAAAAATGAAAAGTTTCCAAAGTGAGCTCATCAGTTATTTAGTGGACTACTGGAGGAAAATATCAAACCATCAGAAAGAGTTGGATAAGCAAAAATNCCCCCACACACACATACAAAAATAAAAGAAAATGCAGACTTGACACAAAGCATTGTGTTTCCATTATAAATTACGACTGAAGAGAAACAGTGATGGTTTGGAGACAGTGACAATAAAAGTTCAATTTCAAACAATGTGTTTTTTAAATGTTAACATGTTTCCACTAGTAAAAGATAATAGAGGAGTCATGCAAGTTAAAAATAAGATTTTACACATGCTTTTCTCTTTCCTTTGGTAAAAAAAATATATTTTTTGTTTGCTTTTAACAGGTATTAAAAACTGAACAGAAAACCAAGCATGCCAGTGACTCATTAAGAAATAATAGTCTGAATGTTTTAAGTGGAATATAAGTTTAAAAGCCAGTTATCAAACAGAACACTGAATGAGTTCAGTTTTAAGCTATTAAAAAAAGCATGTAATTAAACTTCCTTAAGTCTCCCGTTAAGCTTTTTTTTCCTAACTGCATATTTCTCATTCAAGTCTTCCTCCTCTCTTCCAGCTCCTCTACTCCTACTCAAAACTTCCTGTTTTCCCTTGCAAATACTGACCTCGTCCTCTGGTTCCTGAGCCTGTGGGGTGTCGTGATGGGTGGGTGTTTCACAGTCAGGGCTGTAGTGTTCACAGTAGTCGTAGGCTGCCCTGGGGTCTGCCACAATCAGCAGCTGCTGGATGTCACCCTGGAAAAAGAGAAGTGTGTCAGTGAAAATCCAAATGTATTTTTGCCACTTCCCACACCGGTTTTAAATTTTATCCTGAGTAGTTTGCATTATAAATTCAGAAGTCAGCAGGATGATTTATAATTCATTGTAGTAATTATTAGAGAATCCATTAATAATCAATTAAACCTGCTTCAAATATGAATTGATTCATACTGATTCGTTTTGCTTTTAATCCAAATTCAGTTTGATAATTGAATTTTGGTCACAAAATGATTTGTGATGACATTTTTATTTATTTTTAAATTATCTTCTTGAGTGAATCATTACATCCCTAACCATCAGTATTATTTTATTCAGATTGGGTTCTCATAGTAGAGTCACAAAATGAGCTAAATCTCCATTTTTTTGTTTTCGTCTGGATTTTTTATTCCTTACACATAATCAAATAATCTAAAACAAATTCCTTTTTTATAGGCAAAACAATTTTCCTCTCAGTTAAAAGTTATAATTGCATCCACCAATAGAAAAACACAGAAAAAGAACAAACGGTCATTGTGTGACTGGTCGTGGTAATGAAAAAAGTTCAGTGTAATTTCTTGTTCTTCGCTTTTTATTTTCTGACCCCCCCCCCCACCCACACACACTATTTTTAAGAACCACATACAGTATTATTCTTATAATTTTTATATCTAAAAGTGTATTTTGTTGGCTGTTGTCGGTTTCCCCCACCCCCAAAAACATGTACAATAGGTTGCCTTCAGGCCCAGGCCTCCCTTGAAAAAGAGATCTGAGATCTCAACAGGACTTGCCTGGTTAAATAAAATAAAATAAAAAAAAATAAAAAAATAAAATAAAATAAAATAAAATAAAATAAAATAAATGGAGGTTCACGTTTTGGTCTGTGGCATTTTTGAGTGGGTTGGCATGTTCTCCCTGTTTCCTCCAACTGACCAAAAACATGAATGTAAAGACCCGGTCACACTAGACAACTTATGAAACATTTTTCGTCTATATTGCCAATAAAAGTTGTATATTTGATCAATTTGTTAGAATAGCAGTAAGTACACACCTAAAAGAATCTTCAGTTGATTTTTTTTCAATTCCATCTTCAACATAGACATCTTTAAAATTTTCATAAGTTGGCACAAGTTGTCTAAAACATCATAGTGTGACAGCAAGGGCCTTTAGATAACTTTAAATTCTCCTCAGGTGAGTGTTTGAATGGTCATTTGCCTTTGTGGGACCTCCTGATGCCTACCAGCTCCACATAATCCAAAATGGAAAAATAGGTAAATAAAATAGATAAATACCATTACCATTTACCATTATTTTATTTAACCAGGCAAATCCCATTGAGATCTCAGATCTCTTTTTCAAGGGCGGCCTGGGCCTGAAGGCAACCTATTGTACATGTTTTTGTGTTGTGGGGGAAACCGGAGTACCCGGAGAAAACCCACGCAAGCACGAGGAGAACATGCAAACTCCGCACAGAAAGACCCCAGGTCCGAACCGGGGATCGAACCCAGGACCTTCTTGCTGTGAGGCGTTGGTGCTAACCACTGAGCCGTCGTGCCGCCTGCCGCATGTAAATGAATCTATTAGATTATGCATTTATTTTCAAAAACACATTTTTTATTGATCATTTGCACATGATGTCACACTCTTCAGAAGGTGTCCCACTCTGCCATAATGGACATAAAAAACAACCTATGCACACATAAACTCCTGTACAACTTGTCAAAAAACAAACAGTTGATAACCTAAAGACAATGAAACAAATCAAAACTCTCATTTTATCGCATACCTTTGGATGAGGACAGAAGACGATGATAGATAGAAGCCATCAACCATAAGTTGTATTCACTTTTTCATAATAGTGCTGGGCAGTAATTCAATATCTATCAATAAATGTCAGGGTAGAAAATGATTCGATAACAATGGTATGCTGATGATGTTCTGATATTTGATCAATAGATGTTACACTCATCTCAGCGCTACTGTTCTATTTACCCTACATTACGTACAATACTGCACCAAAATGAGCAGCTGTGGGTGAACAAGTGTAGTTGGAAAACAAAAGAAGCAAATGAAATAGTTGATAAGAAAGAAAATACTAAATTCAGTTGCATGGACGTGGTTTGGGTTTTGAAGGTCCGACAAACTTCCGCTTTCAGTCAGCTGTAAAATGTGCCGACTCACAGCGGGACCTCATCTGTTCCACTGTCTGAAAAAGTTCCACTTGTTAGAACTTTCTGAATGAATGAAAACAAAGCGCCTCTACGCAAAACAACCATGGCCATACTGGCAAACACAAGTTGGAAAATCTATTGTAGTCACTCTGTATAATATTCCCCTCCCTCACTTCTGATGTCTATCATGGTGCCTTAGATCAGGTGGTTGCAAAGTGTCAATTTCTGTAGTGCCTTTTGGCCTTTTTCGTGTGAATTGGTCCATTTTAATCCCTGTCTTTCTTTGCCCTGCAAACTCTGATTGGTTAACAGACTGGTGAAGTGCAGGCAGCTGTTCCTATTTCGTTTGAAGTATGCCAAATTAGCCACCAGGGAGACATTATGCAAATGTGTTTTCAAGTGAGATACAGACGATAAGTACAGTTACAAATAAAAAAGGTCTGAACAACTGTAAAAACAAGGTAACTTGGCAATTCAAGAGCAGTGTTTTGACAGGTGATGGCTCCTGCAATTATAGAATTTGAGCTTTGTTACACTACTGCATCTATGCACAAAACTGAAAACACTGAAAGAAGGGGAAAAACCCATCTTACAGCAATGCCAACAAAATGAATTTTGTTCCATTTTCCTTGATTGCCCATCTGTACCAGCAAGATGGTAAAAAAGGGCAATAAAATGAGGGAAATTGTAAATAACAGTGGTAGTAGTCTCTTGACTATTAATTAGATTTACTGTAAGTTTATTGATTGACTCAAGGCTTTAGGGAAATCTTGGAGCTCCGAACTATTCCACAGTTACCCTCACTCCATCGTTAAGAACGGTATGTTCCTGTACGTAGCGGATAAATAAGGTCTGCACTTATCTGAAGCCGTCTGTTTTTCATGAGCCTTTGGAAAAGGAAATTAGATCTCCTCTCCCAACCCTTCAAAAGACTATTTTTCCATGATTCTATCCTAAAGAATTCCTAAACAGGACTGGCTATACTATTAATCTGGAGAAGGTTATTGGTACCTATCTCCCACGTGGACACCTCAGTTGACCTTTCTTTTTGGACTTTTTGGATTCCACCTGGCTTGAGCAAGAAAAGTGATGAAATAAATGAAAAAAAATAACTTAAAGACCGTGAGTGAAGGTAAAGAGAGGCCACGATCAGGGTGGTCCCTTAGGAGGAAGCACATACATGCAGAATGCATTAAATTACAGGAGGCAACATCTGTACAAGCTTAAATCCCTGGAACACATTAGATACTTGCACTCCATGCCTCCATCAAACATCACCAGTAAGCCTAAGCGGGGTTTTAAGCAACCTAAACAAAATCGAAGTCCACTGCATGTTTTTTTTTTTATTTGTTTTAACCCAAAGGTTTTCAGATAGCCTCGGTCCACCTACAGTCGTTTGAAGCCTTGCCTTTCAAACTAGGTTTAACTACTTTATGTTTTCACACATTTGCTTGCAATTTCAAACCAGTGTTCACAAGTAGATTTTGAAATGCCCAGTTAGCCAGCGAGGAGTTTCTTTATCGTCTATCAACTTCTGCTTTAAAGCAGTGTTTTTAGGGTCGGCAGCACAAAGAAATGGCTGTAAAATAATGTCAAACAGAATCGAGGAAAACAATTGTATAAAAGCCGAGCATCAGTGTGGAGAAACTCCAACAGGAACAAAATCCACAGCAGCAAAAACTGAACCGCTGCCACTGCAGACCGTCGTTTCATATTTCCTAAATCTAAGCCAGTCGAGATGAGGATGAATAAAAACACAGACACATTGCATTTGGCTTGATCTCTGTCTGCTTCCTCCTCTGTCTGTCGTTCTCTGTGTATGTCTGAACAGTAACGCTTCCTTTTAGCAGCCCTCACTCCTTTATAAAAAATAAAATAAAAAATAAAGTCTACTGCATTTACAGCCAGAAGAAAATATACAGGATTAAAAATGTCACAAAGACCTTGTTGAAGGACCACACACATTTGGCCCATTTATAAAACCCGGCAATGATTCAGTCACTCCTACTCCCTGATGAGCTTTTCATTCCATGCCACTCCTTTTTTTTACTTTTACCCTCTGTGTGTGAGTTTGTGTGTGTGTGTGTGTGTGTGTGTGTGTGTGTGTGTGTGTGNGTGTGTGTGTGTGTGTGTGTGTGTGTGTGTGTGTGTGTGTGTTTTCATCTTAGTGCCTTTGTTGATGTTAACGTCTTGGTTGTATGAACCATCTCTTTGGCATTTGTTCAGGTTCCTCTTCAGAATTCTAGGAATGATCTTTTTGCTCCACAGACATAATGGGGGGAGGGGCGGGGTCTGTCTATGAACTGCAATCAATCCTTTAATGGACATATGAGTGTAAAAAGACACAAACAGCATGCTTTGGCACGTCTGTTCTTATCTAAAAGCATAAAACAAGAAAAAAAAAACAAAGGGATCAAACTGACCCATATTTTACTCAAAGGGAAATATTTGTTTTTGCACGACGCAGAATAAACACTGGGGTGCAGGAATAAACACACCACTGTTTCTTTTTCAAACCGGCTCATTTCACATTTGATTTTAAACGAAAAGGTTGCAAATTTCGGAGCTTTTGTCGTCACGTCTGATGTGAAGGATTCTTTCTGACACACAAAACTGACCCATAAGACAAATAAATCATTCAGACAAACACCAAACTGTGGTTTTCTGCAAGTTCAGTACTGTTCACGTCAGACCATATAATCATTTGGAAACCCTTTGTTCAGAGGAAAGAGTTTCTGATTGCCACTAGGAAGTGTGTGGAGATTGTGATCAGGCAATCTGATTACTAGCACACACCGTCAAGCACTGCACACAAAACTTTGCGAAAAG